AACACAACAGGATGTGGTAAGTTTTCTTAAACCACACACTTATCTTTTTGGAACATGGGTGTGTCTAGGGCTGTTGTAAACGAATATTTTAGTAATCGAGGTACTCGAATCATTCGAGGAATCGTTTCAGCCCTAGGTGTGTCTATTACAAAGCTATTAACTCAAACTTTCTGAAAATGAAAGTGTGTTCACCTTTTATTTTTATTTGAAGAATAAATAAAATAGGACAAAGACCAGAAATGAACACACACCCATATTTATAAACATAATTAATCAAAGATTAATTTGAAGCCTTCTTATGTTGGACTGGTTATGCACAGTAAAACCTTTTTTTTGTTTGTTGAGGGGTTTTTTTTTTAACTACAAACACTTGAATTTGTTATGGATTTCCTTTAATTCTGAGATGGTCCAATGTATCAGCAGCAACAATAACCTCAGTATGATGCTACCACTACCAGGCTTAACTGTTGGTACATTGTTTACAATCTTTTCCTTAAATGCAGGGATATTACCAAAAAAAGGGTTAAATCTCTTAAAAAGAAACATTAAAATGAGAGTTTTGTTGTTATACATGCAATTCTAGTAGATGTAAATTTTAGTACATAGAACAAATAAATTCCAGATAAAGAAATAGTCCATATGTGATGTAATGCTTATGACAAAACCACATGACACCAGCCAATATATTCTTTTATGATATAAGGAATTTTTTTACATCTTATTTAGACTTCAAATTAAATTTCTATGACATTCAGCATAGTCTATGCAAAACTAATCTTGTATGCGGAGCTTAGGTTGCTTTTTAACAGAGTGGCTCACAAAAGACATATGTAATATAATTATTTTCTTATCTTACACATAAACTAACCAACATGGTTTCCTGGAAAGAATCACCATGCAGTTTGTAAAACAGGAAGTGTGCAGTGTATTTCTGTTCATACAAAAACAAAAATACACTTCGTCAGTAAGAAGAAATAGTGTGGAAGGTTGAAAGAACTGCAATGATCATTTTCATCAAAAAACCTTTTTATGAATTATAAACCAGCAAAAGTATTCTATTCTCTGAACTACAGTGAGTCAAATATTTTTTCAAAAACTTTATAACTTTGACAATAAAAGGGTTAAAAATACTGAACTAGATTTCACCATTTTGACATCACATTCAAAATGTTGAATTTTGAATGTGATGTCACACATTCAAATTCTGAATTTGTTATCTGCCACTCATCATATTTGAGCGGGAGATAACAAAAGTCACATGTCCATACTCTAACCCTATTTGTTACAATTTTACTCATGACAAAACACTACCTGCTGTCATAAATCACTTTCAGATTCTTTCTCAGT